TACAACGGTTAAATTTTTTTTTGGTTGACAAAAAAAATTACTGAAATCAGGACATGTACTCCTGTGCTCTTTCTAGGTCTGGTGGTGGCCCTAATTGACACACATTTACGGTTCAATCATCATCATGAGCATTTACGGTTCAATTTACGTTTGTTCAATCATCATCATTATTTGTTTCATTTAAAAATCGATCAACCGAGCCATTTAAGGGGAAAAAAATGGATTTTTTCTCTATCCGTGTGTGTCAAACTTTTCTCTCTCTCTCTCTCTCTTTCTTTCTAACGATTGAAACCTTTTGGAAAATTAAATAAATCACCACCATTCATTCGTTCATTCATTCATTCATAGTAAAGGATCAGCTAAAATTTATAGAAATATAAAACTTGGAATTAACCAAAGTGAGCATCAAAAAAAAAATTTTTCATTTTCTCTACCATCCTGTTTGAAATTTGATTATTATTATTATTATGACCACATTAGAAATCAAATTGTGATTGAATGTGAAATTGGACAAAAAAAATATGAGACAAACAGACAGCAAGAGAGAGAGAGAGAATTCCCTGTGGTATTATTTGTTTCATTTAAAAATCGATCAACCGAGTGGGAAAAAAATGGATTTTTTTTTCTCTGTGTGTGTCAAACTTTTCTCTCTCTCTCTCTCTCTCTTTCTTTCTAACGATTGAAACCTTTTGGAAAATTAAATAAATCACCACCATTCATTCGTTCATTCATTCATTCAGTAAAGGATCAGCTAAAAATTTATAGAAATATAAAACTTGGAATTAACCAAAGTGAATGAGTGAGTGACTGAGTGAGAGAGAGAGAGAAAAAATTGGTAGTAATTGATTTTGATTGATATAGCAGCACTTTCAACAATCAATAACTTGATATCGCCACTTTATATTTGATGATGAACAAGAAGAAAAAAAAATCCTAATTCAATGTGAACAAATATTATTATTATTAGTTTATTAAATCGATAAATGAATTGAAGAGAAAAAAAAACACAGAATGAATGGATGCCATTGAATAAGTAGATGATGATGATGATGATAAAATGGCGGCATACACTTGAATAATAAGAATATTCTTTAAGATTTAAGAATTGAATAGAAATTCATGTCATTATCATCATTTTTTTTTTATCTATTGTTTGTTTGTTTATTTGTTTGTAATTGAAATTCAAATATTTATAATCATTAAATTCTTATTATTATTTAGTGAATTCTGGGCAAGTTTTTTCCAATTCATTGTATACTGGGCCATTGATTGTATCGTTGTTCGTCGATATTCTTAACAACATTGAAGATTAATAAATCTAATATACATTGCTATGAATTTTTTTCCCGTCTATTCTGTATTATTCTGGCTGAAACTAATGTTTTGAGTTCTTGTGTTATTCAACTTTGTTTTTGATGATTCAACTTTGTTTTGCATCATTCGGGAGAAAAACCCCAGTCAACAAACCAATTGGCCAACAATAATCAACAAACCAATCAATCGTCTACAAATTGATAGTTGAAAAAATGAAATGAAAATGATTCAACCATGTTGACCTACATTCGTTGAGTTAGGAAAAGCGAGAAATGTTGTTGTTGTTGTTGTTGAGAAACAAATTGTGTTGTTTGTTTGACCCCATAATTTTTTTTTTTTTTGTTTCACTTTTTCTCACTGTTTTGATTAAACTTTTGGATATAATTACTATATATATGAAGAATTTGAATATGTTGCTATTGTTGTTGTTGTTGTTGTTGTTGTTGAAGCACTTAAATGCAAGAACAAAGAAAATTTGTTGTTCCGGTTGTTTGTCTTGCTCTAGTTGTTGGTTTCTGGTTTGGCGGCGGCCATTGAAATTATGGTGTTTGCAAATGAAAGAAAAATCATTTGAAAATACATGGGCTATTTGAAATATAGGGATTAATTCTAGTGTTATATATATATATATATAGTTGGTTAGTTATCTCCATTAAAAATTACATAACAACAACAACAACAACAATGGTAAGAATCAAGAGACATCTGAGACACATTCATTTATTGTCTACAAATTGATAGTTGAAAAAAAATGAAATGAAAATGATTCAACCATGTTGACCTACATTCGTTGCATATAACACATGGTACTTGTTTGTTGTTGTCGTTGTTGTTGTTGTTGTCGGTGTTGTTGTTGTTTGTTTGGACCCCATAATTTTTTTTATTTTTGTTTCACTTTTTCACTGTTTTGATTAAACTTTTGGATATAATTACTATATATATGTGAAGAATTTGAATATGTTGCTATTGTTGTTGTTGTTGTTGTTGTTGTTGTTTCTCTGGTTTAGTTTGGCGGCTATTGAAATTATGGTGTTTGCAAATGAAAGAAAAAATCATTTGAAAATGGTGAATGAAATGAAACTTTTTTTCTTTTCATTTGAAATTTTTAGCCACAGCTAAAATTGTCATCTTTGTTTGCTGGTATTTTTGAGTTGGTGTTTTTTTTTCGCCAATTCCAGATACACACACACACACACACAAGCACACACATTTAAATCGATAGAATAATTGGTCTCGTTATCAAAATTCGACAACCAGACAGAATTGTGAACAGCCAAATACAACAATAACAACAACAACAACAACAACAACAAAATAACTAACCAATAAACACGAACCATAATAATGTGGTACATCCAACAATAATCACAACGACCACCATTGAATATTGAAGTGCGAATGAATTGGATTTGCTTTTTATTCTCTGGAATTGTTGTTGTTGTTGTTGTTTTGGATGATGACTCTTTTGATATTACATTTATTCAACTGCTGCTGCTGCCGCCGCTTTTTTGTTACAAATTCTCACGACAATTTGGGAATTACAATTCGTACACATAGATGAAAAAAAAAGAAATGGCTGAAAGGTTAGTAAAGAGTGAAAAAAATGATGATGATGATGATGATGATATACTTTTTCGACCAGGCCACAAATATATGTACAATAGAATCAGATTCTTTTGGTTTTTTTTTGGTTCATTCTAGATTCTTTAAGATGAATGAATCATTTTATTTTTTCTTATTTTTTTCCATTTTTCTTTCTTATTCCATTTTTCATTACTTACTTCTTCTTTTTCTTCTTCTGGTTGTATTCTATTCTTTTGATTCTTGCCATTCATTTGTTCGTTCTTTTTTTAGACTGTATTGTGTGTGTGTGTGTCCATAGTTCCCAAACGACGACGACGACGACGACGACGATGATGATGAGTTTCCCGAGAGAGAGATTTTTTTTTATATATATACTAAACCAGACTTTGGGTTTTTCGTATTTATTTTCATTTTTTTTTTGCCAGACACACACATTTATCTGAGTACATGTGTGTGTGTGTGTGTATTGAGTTGTTTGAATCGGAAAAGCATGATGGTTCCAAAAAAAAGTAACAGAATTAATTTTTGTTTTTGTTTTTGTTTCGTACACGAATCAAATCGAAAACGGAAATCAAAACCATCATTTTCATTTGATGTGTGCATTCACATTCATTTTGGATGAAAATGAAAATCATAAATAAAACTTTTAAAATTCTTGCCATATGTGTGTCAAATATGGGACAGGTGTCTGTAGTATTTAAGAATAACCATCATTATCAATTTTTTTTTTCTTCGATTCACCGGATATTTAGAATAAACGAATTTTTTTCGTTTTGTTCATCTTCAAATTCTATTCATTTAAATTCACTTGGCCTGAATTTAGATTTGAATTATTCAAACATTTTTTTTCCAGTTTTTTTTTTTTTTTTTGTTGTTGTCGTACGGGTTTTTTTCTGTTTGTTTGTTTGTTTGAATAGTTTTATGGTCGATAGTATAATGTGTGTGTGTGTGTGTGTGCCAAACTTTAGTTTGAAAAAAAAAAATTCAAACAAGAAGGATGACCATTGAATGCCCGAACAACAACAACAACAAAAAAATAGACCGCTTTTTAACATAAAAAGAGAGAAAAAGAGAATGAAAAAAAAACAACCATTCCATTTGCCAGTGACCATAATTCGATTTTACTAAACTTGAGGAAATCTTTTTGTTGTTGTTGTTGTTGTTGTTATAGTTCGGGAAAAAAAGTGCTTGCCATTGCATTGAGTAAATATATTCAATTTTGATGTTAAAATGAAATAAAATAAAATAAAATAAAAATTTCTACACTCCAAAACCGAATGGATCGGTCAGTCAGTCAGTCAGTTAGTCATTTAGTTTGTTGTTGTTGCTACTGTTGTTGTCTAGATGCAAATTCAGCACATTTTACATAATCGAAACTATTTGAAAACTTGAAAATGTGTAGAAGAGAACAAAATAAAAGAAGAGAACAAACCTTTTGATAACCAAATTGTTTGGCAAGTTTTAGTTGTTAAAGTTTTTTTTCTGTTTGAAATTTTCAACAACAAAAAAAAACAGAGAGAGAGAGAGCGAAAGAATTGTGAGATGTGTTTCAATGTCTGAATAATGAATAGAATAAATATTTATTTGAAAAATTCAAAGAATATATATATATATATTGACAAGAATTTATAAAACAGAATAAATAGTCTTTTGGCCAATTCAATGATCTTTGAACAATTCAAATTGACCATTGACCAACTTTACATCATAATCATCATAATCATAATTTATTTATGACCATTAATAATAATCATAATCATCATAGTCATAATAATAATGACCAAATGATAATGATGCTAAATGTGGCTATGTTTTTATGATTGACGATTTTATTTGGACATTTCTGAATGATTCGCTGATAGATAGATAGATAGATAGATAAAAAAAAATATTTATATATTTAGAATCCTTCGAATGATTCATTTGAATTCGTACATTTGAATCGATACGATTGAATGAACATTTGGATTCCAGTATTTTTTTTTTTTTTTGTTGTTTACTGATTGATTCTACACTTATCATTATCTGATGATGATGATGATGATGATGATTGTAGATTTTAATAATAATCACAATTTTATTCAATGGAAAAACATTTATATATAAGCATAATAACAAACAAACATGAAAACAACATTGAATGGCCATGACAAAAAACCAGCAACTCATGGTGTCATAGTGTCATAGTCAACTTGATGCAACAATCTCCCCTGTTTACAATGACACGTTAAAGATCACAAAGATACAATTTTAAGAAATGCGTTTAGAAAACAAAACAATACCATTAAAGATTTGTATGACGACAGTAAATGACAAAGATGAGAGACAAACAAGGTGAGCAAACAAATGAATAAGCAAAATGCATCAGCCTTGATGTTCTAGAGACATTTCCGAGAATGATAATACGACGATTGTTTTTTCCGAGATTTACGATTAACTGTAATCCACTCACTATTTCCAAGATCATGACGATCAATACGATTGAAGGAATCAATACGATTCAATTCGCTATCACTAACGACAGATCGAATGAATGTAGATGATGATGATGATGAAGATGATGATGGCAAATGATCAACACTTCTATTACGGTAAATACGATTTGATAAACACTTCGATGATGGTTGTTGATGATTGACGACACAACCTGACGATCGATAGTGATACTGTGACGGTGAACGACCAAAGAATAATTCATATGGGGAAGTATCGCCATCCTTCACCGATATATTATTCAAATATATGGTGGCTTATTCATCAATAAATAAACATTCAACTACCGATGAACGTTTAAGTAGATCAATCTGTCCTTCCCATATTGTGTCACGATTTTTTTTCCAAAAAACCATCAACATTATATGTAACAACATCGGCAAAATGTTCAATAATGAATGATGTTTGAAAATTAAATTTTGGTTTTTTAAAAACATCGCCAACAGTAATTTGTTTATATAGTTTTGAACACCATGTACGATCATTACCTTGTGGCATACGACATTCTTCATCTAGTAAACATAAAATACCAATTGGTTTTGATTCAATCAGGTCAATTACCGGTTGATTATCGGTGAACGTTATAAATTGCCAATCAATACCTTCACGTACATATTCATCTTGTTCTAATTTGAATACATGACAATTAAATTGTTGCTGTAGTACTTCATTAGCATAATTGATTCAAAATTGTTCAAATGAATTAATGAAGTAAAGCAGTTGTGACGACACAACGTGACGAACTTTCGTTGAGAGTCATCCAATCGGACTCGAGGTCCTCAAACCGAGCGTTTAATTTCTCGATCCACTGTCTAAGTTCACCACCAGTATAAGATGTATTCAACATCTGGGTGAATTTTCGAACAGAAGATGCGAATGAGTCTTTTTCAAACCTCACCATTTAAGTCCATATGGAAAAGACAGACTTACAATGTTGGATCAGTTCGATTGTTTTCGGAGCAAACGTGAAAATCATCAGACCGAAGTACCGACAATATTAAGCGTACTCAGCTTCCGTCGGTTGGATTTCTCTCTCAAGAAAGTGTGATTTTCCGCAAGCATTGAATGCTGAACGAACCGTACTTATCCAAGCTTTGACATTACTCCCATCATACTTCACCACTTGTCCGAAAACAAATGTTTCAGTAACTTTGGTTTCTGTCTCAACCGGTGTTCTGATTGACGATGCATTCATGTTCGTTATCGCATTCGATAATTGGAGCAATACTGCAGAAAGATCACCATCACTCTTGGCTTTATTATTGGACATGTTGAAGAGCGAAAGAAATTAAAAAACATAAATTGAAAAAATAGACAAGAGACGTGTTTGATTTTCAATCGTAACCACGCTCTGCTACCAATTGTAGATTTTAATAATAATCACAATTTTATACAATGGAAAAACATTTATATATAAGCATAATAACAAACAAACATGAAAACAACATTGAATAACCATGACAAAAAACCAGCAACTCATGGTGTCATAGTGTCATAGTCAACTTGATGCAACAATGATGATATTGAGAATGAACATAATAAATGTTTATTTTCGCCATTTTATTTTTTTTTTTTTATTTTTATTTTTTATTCTTGAAATGATTTTCTGAATAAAACTTTATGTTTCTGTGTGTGTGTTGTGTTTTGTCTTCAATCTTTGAAAGATGTGATAGATAGACAGATAGATAGAAAACTAGTAGCAGCAGCAGCAGCAGCAGCAGCATGATTCATTCTTCCGATGAACAAATGATTAATCTATGATCATTAATCTTTACGAGAGTTTTTATTTTTGCTTTTAGATTTCTCTCTCTCTCTCTCTCTCTTTCGCTTTTTGTCTGGTTGCGAACATTCATTTCACTGCTGTTTGTTTGTTCCAAAAGCAGCCTCATATGTTTGTGTGTGTGTGTGTGTGTGTTATGCATATGAGCCCAGTTTTCATAATGATCTCCACATTGACCTTGACAAGCAGAATGAAAATAGAATCTAATCTAATCTTGATGTTGTTGTTGTTGTTGTTGTTGTTGCAGAAAAGTTTCAGAAAACTAAAAAAAAAAAAAAATAATCTGAGTATTCAATTAAAAGATTGTTTCATAAATAAACATATTTCATGAACAAAATAAGAAATGGTCAAAATTTTTAATAATAATAATTCTTGTCAACCATTGATTTGGTTAATTTCAGCTAATATTCTGGATTGTTTTTTTCCCGATTCTTTATGCTCAATGTCATCACAATGATTGCGTAGAATATCCCCAGAATCATAGTTTCGGTTTTTTTGTTTTGTTTTGTTTTGTTTTTTTAATATTCCAAATTCTCAGATGATCATTCATCTTTGATTATTGTTCTTGTTGCAATAGTTTCGACGATGGTTTGTAGTGGTGGAAAAAAAATTGATTTTTTTTCTCTCTATATCTCTCTTACCACCCAAAAACAATTCATTCAATCATTTTAATAATAACGACAACAACAACAACAACAACAACAACAAAAGTAAAGCGAAAAAAAATCATCAATCCAATCCAATCCAATTCCAATCGAAAATTGCATCAAAATGAATTGAACCAAACTGAATCAAGAAATAAAAAAAGGAATCATCATCGGCAGCTGCATTCGCAGTAGCAGCAGCAGCTGAAAATAATATGGATTGGAATTCTTCGTCGAATCAAATTCTGTATATCGTCATCACCGGTGAACAAAAAAAAAGAAAAAGTTTTTTTCCATTTCTGTGCATAATGGCTAATATTGTGTGGTGAAAATGGCACATAGAAAATTTTTTTGTGTTTGGCCCGATGTTATTATTATTCTATCGATGGATTTTTTTTTTTTTTTTTTCTTTTTGCCACACATATGACAAATCCCTTTTGATATTTTTTTCATTCATTCATTCATTCATTCATACAGAATCGAACATAATTTGGTCCATTCGTGAAATTAGCTCTTTTTTTCTTGTTTTTTTTTTTTGGTTGTATTAAAGTGATGATCATTAATTGAATCATTTTCTCTCTTATTTCCTTTCAGGTTTTGTTTTGTTGTTGTTGTTGTTGTACCAATTTTTACTTCATTTATTCATCCACACAATCTATAACCATCATTGTTGTTATAATTATTATTGTTGTTCTTGTTCAGTTTTCATCTTTCGTATTTGACTTTCTTATTTTTTTTTGGCCACACTTTCTTTTGTCACTATTTTCATAATTATTTGTCTTTCTCTCTGTGTGTGTATCGGCTTTTTCATATCAGCTAATTTGTCGTTTCTCTCCCTTTCTCTCTCTCTTTTTGTACGATTCTTAAATAATTTTCATTTATTCTCTATTTTTTTTCTCGATTCCTGATTCATGTGTATGTGTGTGTGTGTGTGTGTGTGTGTGATAGAGTGCAAAAATGTGTTTTGTATTGTCGAATATTCTGTACTACACATTTCTATTTGATTCTATTTTTCTATTTGATTCAATTCAATTCAATTCAATTCAATTCTATTCATGCAATGTGACAATGACCATTTTCACTATTATTATTATTATAACAATAAATAGTTTTTCTTATTCGGCCATTATTTTTATATTGTATAAAATGGCCATTGCTTGCTTGCTTGCTTGCTTTTGCATTCATTCATTCGTTGAACACCATTAAAATGAATCGAATAAAAACCAAAAAAAAAAAATTCCATTCTGTCTAGTCAGTAATTTTTTCCATGTTTCTTTTTGTTGTTGTTGTTGTTGTTGCCGCTGCTGCTGCTGCTGCTGCTGCTGCTGCTACTGCATGTCCATTCTGTTATTTTGGGTATAAAAATTTCAAATAATAATGATGATGATGATGATGATAATAATGATATTATTATTGGATTGGATATATGTGTTATAAGTAGTCTTGGAAGAAGAAGAAAACAAAATAATAATAATGACAACAACAACAACAACAAAATAATAATATTTGCACTGACCTTATAATGATGATGATGATGATGACCAAAAATGATACAATTAATTATCCGATAATAAGACAATGAAGCCATAGCAGCAGCAGCAGCAGCATCAGCAGAAGCATTAGATGTCTTTTTTTTTTGTTCTTACAAAAAAATGAATCCCATATAAATAATGATATTATATCAATAGAATTTAAGAATTGACCAACGGTGTCTGTGTATGGGTGTATGGGTGTATTAATATTCTGGAACAAAAATTCCAAATACGGCCATTTTTGTTGGTTGTTTTTTTTTCTCATTATTTGCTTTTCAATTATTAGTTTTTAGTCTCGGTCATGTTGAATTCATCCAAGAAGAATAAAAAAATCGAAAAATCAACAATAAAAGTTTGAAATTAGATCCAAACACAAACACACACACACGGAATAAAAAATGAAAATTTTTGATAAATTTCCGGGCGCCAATCCAGAATTTTTTTTAACGACTGATCCGGTTTTTTTTAAAAAAAACAAACAAACAAACAAAATCATAATGAAAATGACTTAATTGACTTTCAAACGACCAAAAAAAAAAACCAAAAAAAAAAAGAATTAGTATCCTGAAAACTTTATATAAATCTTTTTTCCTGTTTCACATTCATTTTCATTAAGGGGTGTTGCAACAACAACAACAACAACAACAAAAAAAACAACCAACCTCATCTTCATCAATCTATACAGACGCCATCATCATCATCATCATCATCATTATTGATTGTCAACTAAATGTTTGTTGCTACCGTTAGTTGGTTGCTGGTTAAATATTGTTGTTGTCAAAATATATATAAACCATAGTCAAATGGCAATCAATCTTAATCTCAATTAGCCATTTATTTATTTATATAAAAAAAAATAAACCTTGTATGGCCATATTAGTGGTGGAACTTTTTTCCATTTTTTCTTTCTCTCATAAATTTTTATTCGGCTGTTTTTACTTTCTTATTTTTTTTTTTTTCTTTCTAATTTTGATCATAATTTTCAATGTTTCTTTTTTGATGTTGTGGGTGAAAAAAAAATGTCGACGACGACGACTACGGAATTACAGGTCTTTAGATTTCAATCAACCGAAAACAACAACAAAAACAAAAATAAAAATTTTCAGAAAACATGGATAAATCTACCCATTTTGGAATGAAAATGAAAACCAGATTTCAGTTTCAGACTAGTGGTAGTTGATGGAACAGTCTTCATTTCCTTTTTTTTTTTTTAAAAGTTTTCGAGTTTTTTTTCTGTTTTTCATTTCTCCACCTTTTTCCGTTACAATTTACAGACTAGACTAAAACTTTAAATAATAAATTCCAAGCACACACACACACACACACAAACATTTGATTTTTTTTTCGTTAGTTCGTTCGTTTCAAGTAAAAGAATCAATATTCTTACATGTCAATCAGGCATACATGAAGCTCAGTTCAGTTCAGTTCAGTCATTCAATTCCATTCAATCATGCAATTATATCAATAAGTAAATAATTGGCTCATTGAAAGTTGTTGAGTATAGTTTTTGTTGTTGTTGTTTTTTTGTTTTTTTTTCATCCACTGATTGATTGATTCATTCATGGCTACTGTATGCGAAAAATCAAAATGGAGTTTTCAAAATATGGAAATTCCAGATAATTTTCTCTTTCAAGTGTTTACTTCTAGAAAAAAAAAATTCCGTTGAGTTTTTTTTCAACACTTTAAGCCTGAATTGGGAATTTTTTTTTTGAATAAAACAACTTGGTAATTAAAGTGTTAAACTTTTTTCTTTTTCTTTTTTTCTAGTGATTGTCATCTGGTTATAATGTAAAAACAATAACACACACACACACACACGATAATAAGTGGAACAAAACAACAAAACATCGAGAATCGAATGGAATCAATTTGAAAAAAAAATTTGGTTGTTGTTGTTGTCAATGTGATGTTGTTTTGTTCGTTTTGATTTGTTTTTTTTTTTTTTTCATTTTCATTTTCTGGATCGAATCTAATGTGTTGTTTTTAAAATTCGATTGAAGTGTGTGTTGTGTGTGTGTGTGTGTGTGTTGTTGTTTTAAATTTCAAGCTATTGATCGTCGTTTACATCAAATGAATGTGGGCAATGTGCGCCGAAGTATCCATCAAACGGTGCCCATATCAGTGTCATCATCATCATCATCATCATCATCATTATCATCATCGTCAATATCAACAACAACGAGAAATACACGAATAACAACGATAAAACAACGGTCAAGATCATCATCATCATCATCATCATCATCGACGACAAATAAATCGGATCAAAAATTTGATTTTGATTATAATAATTATTATAATCATCAACAACAACAACAACCATCATTACCATTATCATTGGCTACAAAATCAATTACAAATGATAACTTAATACGGCGATCAATTAATAATGGCGCCTTTAAAGGCGCCAAAACAAATGCTGAAATTGGTGGCGGTGGTGGTGGTGGTACAGCTACTACTGCTGTTGCAGCTTCAGCAGCTGCCAGTTGTAGTCGCACCGCCACCACCATCACCACCACCACCACCAACACCACCAACACTAACAACACTACTTCCGCTTCAACAACAACAACAACAATTAGTCCAGAATGTTGTTGCTGTTTAGAATTATTTATTGGGCCATTCATTTATTATATTCTAATTGTGATATTCTGTCTTTGTATATATCTATGTTTGGGTGATCAACCACCACATGTTTTTGCTTTCGAGCAATTTGTTGCCAAATTTAATTCATCATCATCATCATCATCATCAAAATCATCGTCTTCATCATCATCGCAACAACAATCATCAATGTCTTTAAAAATTTTATCAAATTATTCATCATTATTATCAATGAAAAAGACAACAACAACGACAACAGCAACGACTAATACAACCAATTCAGCTACTTCAAATGGATCGATATTTATGAACACTGTCAATCATCATCATGATCATCATTATAAATATAATAGTGATAATAATAAAAATAAATTTATAAAATTAAATCGTCAACCTCGAAGTGCAAAAAATGATAATATTGAATCATCATCATCATCATCAACAACAATAATAAAACAATTTACAATATTAGCATTATTACCTGGTGAAAATGCACCGCTTATAACAAGAGCATTACGTGATGGCCAATCAAAATGGGAAATATCAACACATCGTTCTGATTATTGGAATGAATTTATTAATAAAACTGGAATGTCATCTATGAATAATAATAATAATGTACAATTATCACCATTACGTGCTTCCGATATTCAATTGACAGTTTATTCTGAACCAATACAAAATGATACTGAACGTATATTAACATCAACATGTGAATGGATTAAAATACATAAACCGGCATTAATATTATCATTATTAGATCCATATCGGTCATTTTATGTGGCAATGATTGCACAACAATCATTAATACCATTCATTTCAATGACACAGAATTATCAAAATGAAATCAATCCTATTACACCATCATCATCATCATCATTGACAATAACAAAAAATGAAGAAAAAGAAGAAGAAGCTAAACTGGTAAGTTTTAAATCAGTCATAAATTTAATTTTGGAAATCCAAAATTTTCATGCCATCAGCCAATCAAACAAACAAACAAACAAAAAAAAAAAAAATTTTTTCAAGCTAAAATTTCAATCACCATGTAATTTCGATGATTGATATGTTTTTTTGTTTCTTCTTCTTCTTCTTCTTCACTTTCTCGTGGAAAATGAATATCATTTCAATTTATCATGGTTTGAATTTAAACAAACACACACACACACACAGCCTTTTTTCACAACCACCACCACCACCATTCACCCCCAGACAATATAACATGAATAAAATTCAATAGCACTTAAGTGATGATGATGATGATGATTGCCATATCAGAGATTTTTCTTTTTTGTTGTTGTTGTTGTTGTTGTTCAATTCTTGATTTATAGCCATCAATTTGATTTGATTTTTGTTTTTCGTTATACCATCACCACCATTACTACCACCACCACCACCACCACCATCATCATCGATATTCATCATGTCAAAATTGATTTCAATTTCCAATGAATCAATGGATACATTTCTATATTTTTTTCTTTTGCCAAAATCAAAAAAAAACTGGCTCTGATCCAAACACACACACACAGAGTGAAAAATTGTTTATGACCAAGAAGAATTTTTTTTTTTGTTTTCCGTTTTTTTTTTTTTTTTTTCGGTCCAAAAATGATGACGAAAAATGCAAAAAAAAAATGAAAATGAAAATTGAAAATTGAAAATCCTATTTGTTGCCATCGTTAGTTTTTTTCTCTGTCTATATTGATTTGTTTTTTTTTCATCTTGTTCTTGTTGAATGATGAATGAATGAATGAAAAAAAATGCTAAATAATTGAATATGTGATAATGGTGTTGGTGGTGGTGGTGGTGGTGGTGTTGGTGGTTGTTGGCGGCCGTGACGGTGTCAAAATGCCAATTACAGAATGAAACTAAAGAAGAGAAGAGAGAGAGAGAAAAAAAAAATCCAATAATGTTCACGCACACACACACACACGAATATATCCATGGCCAAAAGGCAAAATCATTCAAGATGTGTGATTATAATGATGAAAATGGGGATGCCATACCAAAAAAAATAATCATGATAAACCCTGTGTATGTGTGTGTGTGTGTGTGTGTGTGTGTGCAATCGCCAAGTGTCAAATAAACTGTGATGATGATAACAGTTCTGATGAAGAAAAAAAAAAAAAAAAAAATTTCAGATTCTTGACATCATCATCATCATCATCATCAGTAAACATATATCTATATATATTATATATACACTTTCTAAAAATCGATTTAACCGATTGATCGATCTATCGATCGGTCTATGTTGTAGAAATAGACACACACACACAAACACACTTGCACACGTACACTGAATCTCAAAGAAAATCTCGAAAATCCATATGAATGTTGGTGAGGATCAATTTTTGTTGTTGTTGTTGTTGTTGTTTGGATTCAAAGAATTTTTCATTCTCTATTCATTCATTCATTCATTCATTCATTCATTTTCCTTCTCTCTCTCCAACTATATACATGTGCTTGAATGAACGTTTACAGAATTTATATTTAAAAGTGGTGAAAAAAAAATTGAAGAATTTGTGAAGTAGTGAAAATTTTTTTTTTTTTTTTTGACTCGATACTCAATAGGCATGCTACAAATCTAGACATCAAATCGTTGAATCGTTGAATCAAATGAAATGAAATGAATGAATAAAAGCGACAAGCATGACAAGAGGAAAACAAAATAGAAAAAGAAAAATATTGTATTGGCGGCATTGGCAGCAGCAGCAGCAGTTGCAGCCAATATTGATGATTAAATTAAAAGCAATGATGATGATGATGATGATGATGATGATGATGATGATGATGATGATGATGATGATGATGATGATGATGATGATGATGATTGGTTATTGGTTATTATCATTCAATCACATCTCATGAGGATTCTATACATTTAATTTCATTCAAACGTGTCATCATCATCGTTGTTGTTGTTGTTGTTGTTGTTGTATCATAAACGTTTACAAAAAAAAAATTTATATCAAAAACATAAAGAAAATAAAATTCTTTGTCCCATTCATTGGCTCATTATTGATTATTGATATATATATAGATATGGAATATATGGGTCAATTATTATCATCATCATTGATCATGAGACGATCATCATCGTTAAAAACGTACATATTTCGAATAGATTTCTTATATCATTGATAATGATGGCTATTATGTAATCGTACGAATGAAATAAAAAAAAAACAATAATGATAACGGATATTTTGATGCTGCTTCTGCTGCTGCTGCTGTATATACCACATATCATATTATTCGCAATTGATGAAAAAGAATGCAGATAATCAAATATTAAGAAATAAATGAATGAATGAATGAAGAAAAAAACAATAAAGCTAGAAAAAGAAAATAAATCTGGATCATTTTGGTCGAATTCTGTTGAATAGAGATCGAAATTGCATATATGCCAATACACTAAAAATGGTATGGAATTTTTTTCTCGGTTCTTTTTTTTTGGTTTGAAAATAATAGAATCATCATCATCATCATCATACAGGAATAATTGAATTTCTAATGCAAAATCAATGGGTGACAATAAATATTTATGGTGCGTCTGTCTGTCTGTCTGTCTGTGTGTGTGTGTGTGTGTGTGTGTGTAGACACAACAGAATCATTTAATCAATCAATGAATATTCTTCATACTATTCCATCTATCCATATAATTTAATCATCATTCGACTACAGAATTAAATTTAGTTGTTTTATTTGTTGTTGTTTTTGTTGTTGTTGTTGTTTAAAAATTGGATCATTAATAAATGTGATTATTATTAATACAAACCAACAATTCAACAACTGGGAATCTTCTATCTATTAAGCTAATCTCTCTATGTGTGTGTGTGTGTAAATGAATGAAATGAAAAAAAAAATTTTTCACTCCAGTCAATCTCATTTAATTTTACTGGATTTTTTTTCACGTTGTTTTCATTGTTTTCATTGCTGTTGTTTGTTGTTGTTGTTGTTGTTGTCATGAATTCAAAAAAAAATGTTTGATGATTCTTGAAAGCTTTCACTCATTCTTTCCACTGTTTTTTTTTTTTCTTCTTCTTTTTTTCTACGTTCATTCGTTCAATGTTGATAAATAAATTGTAATCATCAAACAGCAAGCACAGCAGCACACACATGTTTGATAAAAAGACAGCGGCAACAAAAAAAAATGTTGATGTAATGGAAAGAGAAACAAAACAAAAAAAAAATCATTCATTTTAGTAATCGATAAATCTGAGCACAGTTTAGTTCAGCACAATTCTTATATTCTATGTTTGATAGTTGAATGGTGTGTATGTTGATGAATCCAAAAGAAAAAAGAATTGCTCATTAAAATCATTGACAAGGCCGTTTTTTTCATCTATTTTTCCCGTTTCTTATAGATAAGATAAGAATAAAACAGCAAGAGAAACCAGATATCCGATAGTAATAACGTTATATCGTGTGTGTGTGTTGTATGTGTGTGTTAACCCTTTTTTTGTTTGATCAATTTTTTCCCCTTGGTGGTTGGTTGTTTGTTTTCGTCTGTCTATATATATATTTTTTCCATCAGTTCGATTAAAAAAAAAATCCATCAATTCTATGGCCAATAGATTGAATGTGAACAACACACACACACACACACACACACAGACACACATGTAACAATCAAATTTTCGAATCAAAAAAAAAAAAAACTAAACCAGATTGAATTGAAAAAAATGATTGATAGAAATTGAATTGGCATCTAACCAAAAAAAAAAAAAAAAAAACAAGAAGAAGAATTGACCATCTTCATTGAGAAACATTCTTTGTAGTTGTAATTTTTGTCAACATCCATAGTCGTTGATGTGTGTGAGACAGGAATTGTGCAAAAACAGCCAAAAAAAAATTTAAGCCATACATTTGAATGCGAAAAAAATGAGCAAAGATTCTATTTTTTTTGATTCATCACTTTAAGAAATGAAAAAAAAACCATTAAGACAAATCCTCTCTCACTCTTTCTCTTTTGCTTCTGTTCTGTTAAATCAATTCTGGATTCTTTATTTTTCAAGCGTGATATTTCAATTCTCATAGAATAAAGAGTGGATGGATGGATGGTGGTGGTAGTAGTAGTGGTAGTGGGGAACTTATGGTGATGTTGTTACAATACAATGTATCTGTGGACATTTATCATTTTCAAAACATTTTACCGTATTGTTGTTGTTGTTGTTGTTGTTGAATTATTTCATTTTTCATTTTAAATTCTGACACACATACACACAGCAGCAGCAGCAGCCACCAAAAAAAAATATTTTATATTCATGTGAAAACTAAAAAATTCCTTGTTCTTGATTCAAAAGAAAAAAAAAGTTATGAATATTTTTCTCTTTGATGATACACGAAACTTGAAATGGATGCAAACAGAACAGAACAGAATGGAACAGAATGAAATCAAATTTTTAGACATATATATCATATATCAGAGCAATGAATTTTTCTTTTGTTTAAAAAATAGGAAAAAAAAAGTTTGTAGAAAAAAAAATCGATTCTGTTGAATTAAAATTAAACAGAAAAAAAATTATTCATTCCAGTGAAATGTTTGTCACTTTTTGTGTGTTGATCATGATCATATTTTTTTTTGTTGATCAATTTTCAACCAGTAACACCCACACACACACAGGAATCGATTCTTTTGAAATTTTTTTTTGCATAACTAAAAAGGTGTTTGATGATGATGATGACGGCGACAATAATCATAAATTTTAAATGAAAAATCAACTCTTAGATATTTGAGAGAGAAAAAAGTTTTGATTTTTTTGTTGTTGTTGTTGTTGTTGAATCATTAAACATCATTCATTTATTCATGAAAAAATTTTATTTATTCATTCATCAATTTCTTTCTTCTTCTTTACTACTCTCTCTTTCTTCGTCGATTGAATGCAAAAATTCTTCGACCAAATTCTGATATTCTTCCATTGACAATTGTGGATATTTACGTCGAAAATGTCCACAATTTCCATTTGTTAGTAAATCTTTTCTCAGCGTTTCCTTTGGTTCTCCACCTCCTTCATTGAAATCATTGAAAAGTTTTTGCATTTTCATTTTCAATTCATTATCATAATTTTCAATATCCATCATCATATCCACATTGTTGTTTAATTCAAATGTTCGGATCAATTCATTGAACATTTTATGATTATCCATAGCGATGAATGGTCGATGAAGATTGGTTAATTTTTTCAATATTGCATGAATTACATTTCTATCAAAATCATTATCTATAACAGTAGATAATGATTGTTGTCGTTGTTGAATATCCGGTATTGATTGATTGACAACAATTGCATCGTGAATCATTCGATAATCAATATTAGCATCATCATTTGTGGCTGCTATTCGATTGAATATTGGTGAATACATTGGTGATTGATGATAGCCACTCATTTTCTAAAATTTTTTATACCAGTTAATTCAATACACCACATACGCTAATATATGCATTTGAAGAAATTCTCGAATGTTTTTTCTCTTAATTTGATCATACAGTTCTTAATTTCTTTTGTTTTTTTTTTCACCATTTTTTTCTGATTAAACACACAGGATAATGATCAACGTTTTCCACAGAATATAAATCAAAATTATTGGTTACCACCACCACCATCATCATCATCATCATCATTACGTTTATCATTAGATCCACCAATACAAACATTGGCCGATGCAACATTTAAATTATTGCGTACACAATATTGGTTTGATGCCTTATTAATCATTGATGAATCAATTGTTTCTGATCAATTTGCTCGTCGATTAACTTCATTATGTGATTCATTTCGTTATGAATATGAACAACAACACCAACAACGACAACGACATCGACAACATCAACATAATAAATAATAAGAATGTGAAACAATCGAATTTTTTTCGTTCATTTCATCATAATTATCCTTATTCTTATCATCATCATCATCATTATGATGGTGATGGTGATGGAAAGCTCAATTCCAGAGAAAAACTTTTATCAAAACGATTTAGCCATGAATCCATTTATTCTTCATCATCATCATCATCCATCATCAGAATCGCAATATGACACTTTTGATTGGATGGAATTGAAACGTTCGTCGATCAAAAAAAGTGCCATGTTAGCTGATACATTATTACATAAGCCTATCGAAACCATCACCACCACCACCACCACTACTACTTCTACCCCTAAATCATCAACTATGGCCGATACAGATAAAGATACAACGACTTTTTTTACTAAACAAGATGATGATGATGATGATGATGATGTAAAATCAGAATCAATATTTGAACAACAACAACAACAACAACAACAATCGTTGAAATATGATAGAATAATACGAAGAAGAGGAATAAAATCTAAAAAACCATCAAGTGCCAAACAACAACAAGAAATTCGTCAATTAAAAGCTGGTCTTTTAATGTCCATATGGAAAAATCTCATGATCATACGTGTATCTAAATCTTTACCACAAAAAGAGGTTCGTTTATTTTCATTTTTTTTCTGTTGATAAAATTTCAAGTTTAACATTTTTTTTCGTCTCCATACACACACCCACACCCACACACCCACACACACACTCATATAGTTTTATTTACGTATGGCCGAAATACAGACAACACATCGTCGTATTGTATTAGTACATTGTGATAAACGTACAATGAAACGTGTTATTCATAATGGACGTGAATTAGATTTATTTAATGGTGAAAAAATTTGGATTCTATTGGATGGTCGTCTAGGACCTGATGAAAAATTCGATACTATTTCATCATCATCATCATCATCATGGTTCAATGGTGATGGTGATGGCGTTAATGGAAAACAAGATGATGATCATCATATGGACAGTGTCAATGATAATGATCAACTACCATTACCAGTTGGAATGTTAGCCATACAGAATCGTCATCGTAAAATTTATGATCCAGAATTATTAGATTCAATAGTAGAATTGATGGGCAAAGCAGCATTAAATTCTTATCAACTACGGCTATTACAGAAACAATATCCAAAATCTAGAACATTATTTCAAAATCAAAAACAAATCAACAACAACAACAACAATAATATAATAATAAAAAGAAACCCTTCGGTTATTATACATCAAGTGCCTTTAAATCATCACCATCATCATTATCGTTAATTTCAAATAATTCATCATCATCATCATCATCAATTGTAACTAAACCAACATCTTCATTACCCATGAAGCCTTTCAATGATGATAAAAAACAGCGTGAAAATTTAAAACAAAAAAAATCATCAACATCAACATTGTTACATAGTTTGTCATCATTATCATCTGTGAATACTGGTTGTATAGATTCGGCTGCGAATTATACAAACGAACAAATTGATTATCGTATCGATATTTTACGGTAAGTTTTTTCCATTCTCACCATTTTTTATCATCTCTAACTCTAATTGAAAATTCATTCTTTAAATCAAAAAAATTTTTCACATTTTGTGTTGGATTTAAATCAGTTTTTGTAGCCAAACAAGAGAAGACAAGCGAAATAAAAAAAAAAAGTTTTCATTTCTGCTTCACTGTATTTTATTTTATTTTATTTTTTTTTTGACGTTATTATAATTCTTGTGTGTGTGTGTGTGTGTGTGTGTGTGTGGTTCTGCTTCCGGGATTCTTTTGTTTAATTCATGACAATAAACAACGAATATATATACGTAGATGATGATGATGATGGCTTCTATTCATGATAACATCATCATCATCATCGTCATCATCATCATTGTTTTATTTCATAGAATTTCCTGTTGTTTGTTTCATGATGCTTGACAATTATTTGTCTACTTGTTTTTTTTCATACATTGTGTTTTTTCATATATGATGATGATGATGATGAAAATGTACTCATAATTTTTCTTTTTTATTTGTCTATTTTGTTTTATTTTTTTGGTCTTTTCAATTCGTTTTTCTGTTGTCGTCATCGTCATCGTTGTTGTTGTTGTTGTTGTTGTTGTTGTTGTGATGGAATAGAAAATGAAAATGAAAACGAAAACGATCAAACATACATTGTCATAATAATAATTCTAAAGATTCCGGAATCATAAATTTTTCCATTCTCGTATCGAATTGGCTGATTCTTGATTCTTTTTTTTCCAATTTATTGTTGTTGTTGTCTTATTTTAATTCGAATGATAAACATATGGTGTGTGTTTGTGTGCGTGTGTGTGTGTGTGTGTGTGCATGAAAATAATTGAACTTTTTTTTCTTGAAGAAGAAGAAGAAGAAGAAGAAGAAGAAGAAAAAAAAACCGTGACAATGAAAATCATTGAAAATCTTTGGAAATTCTTGTTGTTGTTGTTGTTGTTTTTTCTATTTCATTTCCATCAAAATAGTAACTTGAGATTATGATTATTATATATACGAACACTTGAAACAACAAACATGAACAAACACGCACAATACTTGAGATTCTTGATTCTTTTTTTTTATTCTGTGTGATATATTTTTACTATTTCAAGATCGAATCAAGTTATTCAATGGTGTTTACAAAAACAAACACACACACACACACACATAAATATAGCTAGTTTGCTGCCATTTGATGGATTCATTCATCACATTTCTACCACACATACACACACAAATAGTCGTCCGTTTTTTTTGACATGTTTTTCTTTTGCCACTTTACCATCATACAACAACAATTGGCAATTTGGACATATTCAAATGTTGATTCTAATTCTTGAAAATCGATTTCATTCTGTAGATGATCTTTCTATTTTTTTTTTTTATTATTACTGATTGACAATAACCATTTGTTTGTTTCAAATTTCATGTGTGTGGGTGGGTGTGAAAACTTGATGATGCTTGTTAGTAGCTGTTTGTATGTTTGCCAGATTTTTTTTTCTAGCTTTTTTGATCACATACATGAACATGAACAGACTATATGAATGATGATGATGATGATGATGATGAACTGTTGTTGAAAAAAGTTTACACATTTGCGACATCTACATATATATGTATACATTTTTTTTTTTTTTAGTTCGTATGCAAACATTGAGAATATTTTGACGAAAGATAATGTTTTTGTTGTTGTTGTTGTTGTTTCTCGATGAAGAAAAAATTTCGCCCAACAGAATCGTTCGTTTTTTTTTCACCACTCATCTCATTCACCAAAAAATTATTCTATTGAACGGGCCAGCTAATGGATGATTTATGTTTTTGACACATTTTCTTCATGTGATTATTATTATTTTTTTTTATTATCAAGTAGCTCCAAGTTGACAAGTTGGCGATTGGTGATTGGTTTCCATTGTTTTGTTTTCAAATATATTCATTACAATTGATAAACAAATGACACTTTTATACATATTTAGCCTGTAGAATTATGATGACGATGATGATGATGATGATGGTATACATTGAGATTTTTGTTGATGTCATGTTTGTTTATATTTAAATATTCAGACTGTCTTGGATGTGTGTGTGTGTGTGTGTGTGTGATTCCTTTATTTTGGGAGATATAAAATAATCGTCTGTGGTTTTTCTATGTGAAAGCGGATTTTTATTCCATTGAAATCGTGTGTGTGTGTATGTAGGTTAGAATAGAATTTAAAATGAAATTTGCATAATATCGATTCTGTTTTATATTCTAATTTTTTTTCCATAAATTCTATACATGAACAAAAATGTTTAAAGAATGGAAATTTTTTAGCGATTCTCCTGATTCTTTGTTGTTGTTGTTGTTGTTGTCATTTTAACATTTCTAAAAAAAACCGGATGACAGTCAAATGTGTTGACGTTCATGATGATGACAATATCGCATGCAACAACAACAACAACAAAAAAAAACAAACAAAAAATTTCAAGATAAAAAAAAAATTCACCAATCTTGAAACCAAACCGTTTTTCCGGCATATATATTTTTTTTTCTACAATGTATTTAATTTTGAAGCAACACAAAAAAAAATCAATTTATAATTATTGCAATTTGATCTGAATGGAAAAAATTTTTTTCCCAAATTTTATTCCGTTTCTAGTGTTTTTTTCCACTGGTGTTCAGTCTAAAAGTTTGCCAGAATTTATTATATTCTATATTCTCGTGGCGTGTTTCTATCCGGAATTTTTTTTTTTTTTTTTTTGCTTGAAACCATATGGTGCTCGATCGTTTTTCTTTGTTTCTGTGTGTGTGTGTATATGTGTTTGAAGTATATGACGCTATGAATATCTATTAGCATTTTTATGTATTAATATGAAAAATAGACAGAAATGTACAGAATTTCAGTAATCATCATCATTATATTGCTGATTGTATATAATGGTGGCCATATGGTTTAGAAACACTGATCACTGTGGTAGCCAAATACGTGATTATCATTTGGATTGTGATTTATTTTGACGATTCTCTACCACCACCACCACCACCACCACCACCAACACCATCATCATCATTGATTCTGGAAAATAGATGCACACGACGACGACGATGAATAACAAAGAGAAATTATATATATATATGAATATATGAAACAAAAGTTAATTTTTATTACAATGAAAAGAAAAAGTTTTTGTCGTCGTCGTCGTCGTCGTTTTTTTTGGATTTTAAATATATACTGATGAAATGAATATTCTTGTGTGTGTGTGTGTGTGTGTGTGTGTTGAATTTGAAGAAAAGAGGTGTGTGTCAAAAACATGACATTTTTGATTGATATTGATGCAACAGAGACAAACAAACAAACAAACAAAAAAAACGAATGACACGCACACACACACACACACAATGAACATGACGCATGAATAAATCGATGAATGGTCGAATATATTTAATTATTGATAAATAAATATTCATGGTTCAGGTTTATGAATTTGTTGTTGTTGTTGTTGTTATTTCTATTTCAAAAAAAACAAAAATTCTCTGTCAACAATTCAATCGATTGTGTGTGTGTGTGTGTATCAATATATTTATAATAATATATGAACCATGAAATTTGCATTTTTTTCCATGAAAATTATCATTTTTTGGTTCATATTTACTTTATCAATTTTATGCAAGAGAAAAATTTGTCATTTTTCTCTTGGATATCTGGCTGTCTGGCTGTTTGTTTGTTTGATCAAACAAAAATAGCATAAAAATTGAAAATAAAAAAAAATTTCCACCATTTCATTCATTTCATTTCATCATTGAATATATAAATCGTTAAATTTAATGGATCATTTCATTTCTGTTATTTTGTTTGTTTGTTTGCAATCATTGTCGTCGTTGTTGTTGTTGTTGTTTTATCATCATCATCCACATCATTTTTTTTTTTTTGTTTCGATTCTATGGTTCAAAATGAGAAAAAAAAAATTTTCCATTTGAACAACCTAAAATCACTGGCAGTATTGTATTTTTTTTTTTTGTTCACTATGGAATATTCTTTGAATTATAAAGAATATCCGCAAGCATAAACCATATGTGTGTGTGTGTGTGTGTGTGTGTGAATGTTTTTTTTCCTGCCATTTTTTTTTTTTTTTTTGTTACCCGGAATACAGTTCTGGATTTTGAGTTGAAATGCACCAGCATAAAAAGATTCAATGGACCGAAAATTATTTTTTTTTCTCGATTCTCTCCATAGTTTCTATTTCATTTTGACTGGGTTTTTCATTGTTTTTTTTCCTTTATTTATTTACAATCGTTTAAGATTCTTGTCATCATTCTTCACTTTACCCACACATTAATGCTTTATAACGTTTTTCTCTCTCTCTCTCTCTCTCTCTCTCTACGCTGTTTGTTTGTTGACAATTTTCAAATAAAAATGCAGAATCCAGAATCCAAAAAAAAAATCCAATATTGAAAAAAAAATATTCTCTTCGTGCTTGTTTGCGTGGGTGTGTGTGTGTGTGTGTGTGAGAAAACGGAATAAAAAAAATTTCAAGATTCCGTTTTTTTTTCATTTTCATTCATGGTTTTTTGATCACGTAATTCTATATCACTGTGTTTATGTGGATGATTCTGATTCTTGATTTTTGTTTTTCACTGTTTTCTCTTTTAAACACTGTGATTTATTATTTTTTTATTTTTGACAGTGAAGCCAACATTTTTTAACCTTTGAATTTTTTTTTCTCTTTTCAATATAAATAGTGAACTACAAAAATTATTGAATCCAATATTGGCTAGATATCGTCATCATAATCGTTTTTCACGTTGTTCACAACAATGGCCTTGGTATTCGGTTGCAAATAATAATAAACATCATCATCATCAAACAGCAAACAACAACAACAACAACAACAACAACCACGACAAAGATATCGTCGTCATCGTCGTACAACAACAACAACAACAACAATCGATATGAACAAAAATGACATCAAAAATGATGATAATAATAATAATAATAATAGTAATGGTCTTGCTAACATCAACAATAACAATGATGATTCGATAACGGATGAAAAAAAAAATTTTTTTGCTAGCTCAGCTGCTATCAAATGGAACCATAATCATGATAATCATGATGATGATTCGAAATTGTCTTCCAAACAACAACAACAACAACCACTACTACCACCATCAGAAGCCTATTCTTCTATTTCGACACAATTGTCATATGGGTAAGTGTGTGTGTGTGTGTGTGTGTGTGTGTGAATCATCATGATCATTATCATGATCATAACCACCATTATCAGTAGTAGTCATTTTTGTTTTTTTTCATCTGATTTATATATATGTTCAATTCAATGATGATGATGATGATCTTAGATGATGAAAATAATAACCACCAGCTGTCGTTTTTTTTTTTCTTTCTATAGAAATCCGACCATTTTTTCAAACATTGACAATGATGACAATGACGACGACATTGATATCCAAAATGATTATGATGATGATGGTAATGATGGTGATGATGATGGCAATGATAATATTGAAAACAATGATAACCGGCAACAAAATCAATTTTCAAATGCTCGATTACAACGTCGAAATTTATTCATTATGAATGATAATGATGTAAAAATGGATTTAAATGTTGATGATGATGATGATGATGATGAATATTATTATTACGATGACGATTATGATGATTATTCTGATGATGTTGATCATCGTCAACAACGTGAATATAATGATAATAAATCACCAGATGTTTATGATGATGATGATGATGACAATGATAATGATAATGATATGTTTACGCTCGATATGTATCGATCAATAGTGCCTCATTTTGATATTTTAAATTTGATTCCAGTCGATATGTCTTCGGAATCAATCATCACTACTACTGCTACTACTAATACTAATAGCCACAATACTGCCCATAGTATAGCTTCCTCTTCTTCATCGTCTTCATTTATGAATCAATCTGGTAATCGTTTTGTGAAATCGTTTTCCAAAAATAAATGGCATAAAATTGGTAATATTACCTATGATCAAGCAAATTTAAATACAATCATGTATATTGGTATGGATAAATTGCCCAATTATGTTTTATATGCTACAAATATGAATCATCAAAAGCAATACCATCATCATCATCATCATCATCATCATCACCACCAACAGCAGCAAAATATTGTCGTTGATAATAATGAAGAAATGACTGTTAATATTGATAATATCGATGATGATCATTTTACCACATTACATATGAGTAGCGGCAGCGGCAGCGGCAGCAGTACCAGTAGCAGCAGTGGTAAACCACGTTTTCGTGTTGTCACCAATATTGCACCACCATTTGTTATTGAATCAACTAAACTGGATAATAATACATGTCTTATTGGTGATTTTTGCCTTAAGGTAGGTTTGTATTCAAGTTTAAAAAAAATTTTATTTCATTCGTATTTGTATTCATCGATCATCAATATTTATTAGCCAAGTGTATTGATGATAAAAAAAATGGAAAAATCGAGAAATAAAAATTCATAAATCGACCAGAATTTATTAACAGCTCCATTTTTTTTCTGTTGGTTTTCATTTCTGATTTATAGGTTTTGACCAACGTACGTGATGATTTAATATCAATATTTACTGATTTTCGTTCACAACGGCGACAATTTGAAGGACATAATTATCAGGTTAATTGTTGTGCCGGTATTGCCATCGATTTATTGAATGCCGTTGCAAGAGATCTACATTTTGATTATGATCTTTATTTGGTTGCCGATGGTCTATTCGGCATACGTAAAGATGGTAAATGGGATGGCGTTACAGCTGATCTTGTTAATGATGTAGCACATTTAAGTTTCACTGCATTCAGTACGACTAGTTCACGTGTACAGGTATGTGTGTATTAAATGTAAATATATAAAAAAAAATCAATCATTCGAGTTGATTATATCAGTTGAGAATATTCACTAACCACTTATTCATTGGTACAATATAAACGAGATTGAGAGAAAAAAATATCATCATATAAATAACGGCTCAAAATATAGAATCTGAAAACAGAATAAAAATGTCAGCCAAAGATAATTAGGTTTTTTTTTTTTTTTTTTTTTCATCTCATTATTCTGAATATACCAAGAATTTCTCAGATTTGATTCATTTCATTCTGGTTTACAAATTTTATTGTTGCAATCAGAAAGTTTTTTTTTGTTTTGTTTTGTTTTTGTTTTATAAACTTGAAACTCTCTATTCTCTCTTCTTATTTCATCATCAATTCATCATTATTTTCACTATTTTTCATTGTTTATGGTAAGAAAAACAAAATGAAAAAAATTCTTGTGATATTCCGTGTGCTGCTGCTGCTGCTGCTGCTAGAATCGTAATTTAAGATGTCAACTATTTGTGTATGATAATTATGATGAATTCATTTTCTCTGTCTCTTGCTCTCTCTTTTGACAAAATAATCTCCCAATTTGTTCAGTTGGCTTATTATTATTATCATCATCATCATCATCATCGTTATTATTATTTTTTTTCCTGCCAGTTCCTGGATCATTTCACAATTCTGAATACCTTTCAATCATCAAGAATTATATTCTAGATTGCTTGATATATTTGATGATTTTTTTGTGTGAATAAAAAATTTTTTTTTTTGTTCTCAATGAATTTTCACCGAAAAAAAAAAACGGCAGAGAATAGAGAATTGAAACAAAACAAAACAAAAAACAGAAAATTCCTGAATCTAATTAACTTTTCCCTCAACAAACAATCAGGATTCATATATATAACCTGTCTAGTGGTATTCATAATAATAAAATGAGTAGCTCTATATTTTTGTTGTTGTTGTTGTTGTTGTTGCTGTCCCGAATATTCTAAATGATTAAAACAGAATTGAATTCATTGAACCAATTCTGATTCTGAGCTATTTGTTGTGATTGTACACATTTTTTTTTTTTGAATGTGAAAAAGATGCAGACATAATAGACATGGTCAAACAACAACAACAACAACAACAACATCCGAACAAAAAAAAGAATCACCATCATCATCATAAACATTTGAAACGACCATTTAGTATATACTAACCAGAATTAATATTATACCGAAATACAACGTTTTTTTGTGTTGTCTGTCTGTCTGTCTGTTTGTTTGTTTGTTTGTCCATGTTGCTGGATGTAAATGTGGGTGGGTGTGGGTGTGTGTATTTTTTTTTTTGGCTTGATCACACTGAATGAATTGAATATATTAAATCTGATGATTCCGAAATCAACAACACACACACACATCAATGACAGAGATTTGTTTTGTCTGTGTGTGTGTGTGTGTGTGCTACGGAATTGTTCAATCGACCGATTAAAACAACAACAACAACAAATAACAACAACAAATGGGAATAAAAAAGCAAATTTTTTTTTTCATTTTCTAATTGTATGTGATTTATATTGATTGTTTTTTTTCATTCTGTTTTTTGTCTATTCATTTCTTTTCAATTCACATACGCACACCCACACACACACACACACACAACAATAATAGGCTATTGATTATTCGGTGCCATTCTTTTATTCCGGTGTATCATGTCTTTCATCTGTTAGCTCCTATTCGGATGTACGTTTATTGGCATTTTTAATACCATTCAGTTATGAACTATGGGCAGCTATATTTGCATCATTAGTAGCAACAGCCATTGCTGCTGCTATTTATGAATGGTTTTCACCATTCGGTCTGAATCCATGGGGCCGTCAACGTACAAAAAATTTTTCATTAGCCTCTGCATTATGGGTCATGTGTTCATTATTGTTTAGCCATCTTGTTGCCTTTAAAGCACCAAAATCTTGGCCAAATAAAGTAAGTATTTATATTTATTGATTAGATTTTCATTGATTTGTCATTAATAATTTTGTTCATCACTTGTATTCAGGTTCTAATCAATGTTTGGGGTGCATTCAGTGTAATATTTTTGGCTACCTATACGGCCAATATAGCTGCACATTTTGCTGGATTTCTATTGCCTGAAGTTAATGATTTTCATGATAGTAGTGTAAGTATTATCATTATGAATAAATGACAAAAATAGTGTCAATATTTGTCAACGAAATGAACCACACATTTCATACACGCAATATCTTCCAAACCATCCGGTATTACTACCCATCCGCTACTACTACTACTACTACTATCACCACATTTCAAATTTTATATATCATCAGATGTTCATTTTATTTCATTCATTCATTCATTCATTTTGTTTTTCCCACTGACTGAATATTCCGATAAACATATTAATTCTGGTTGATTTCTTTCATTTTCATTATTTTTGCACTTGTTTTTCATTAGCTAGCTGATAATTGATGATGATTCGTCTACAAATAGAATATGCATACATTACATTTGATAATTTTTTTGTTTCTCTGTTTTGTTTTTGTTTTATTAGCTAATGAAACAACGTACTGGTACAGCACGAAGTTCAGCATCAGAAGGATATTTAATGGAAAAATATACTGAACTATGGCATCATATACAACGATATAAAGTGGATAGTTTTGATGCTGGACTTGAAAGTTTACGGTATGATTTTTTTTTTATTCTATTCATTTCATTCACATGTTCACACCAATAATCATGATCATCATCAACACACACTGGATACACACACACACACACACACAGGATATAAATAAACACAAATGGACAAATTGAATCCAAATAAATTGTAGTGTAATGTATGTGATTATTGATTCTTTTGCCATTTTAGTTTGGTTATATAACATCAACTACGATGATGACACACACACACACACACACACACACAAGCATATTAAGCATGAAAAATGATTGTATTACACACACACACATACACAGTGAAACACTCTAAGATCTAATGTTAAAAGTCAGACGATGATAAGATCATAATTTTGGGCTGCAAATCTCCATTTTGTGTGGTAGAATAGAACAGAACAGAACAGGACAAAAATGAATGAAAGTGATGGCAATTTGGTCCAAAATTCCAAAAACATGATATTATTTATAACATAAAATGTTGGTTCATTCATGAAACAAATCTCATTCTAACAAGCAGACAAAAAAAACACACACACACACACACAAACACAAATACGATTAAGGACAAATACAGAGAAAAAAATGATAACAAGAGCTAGAGTGATAGTAGTGGCAACTAATTTTGATTGATTATATTCACAATAATAATAATGATGATGATGATTCTCGAGTGGTAAAAATCTATCGAGTGGTAAAAATCTGTATTGGTAAAATTTTTGCTTCATTATTATCAAATTTTTTTCCGTCTCTTTTTGTTTCCAACATAACTATGAACCATAAATTGTCGCCGATGTATTTATTTTTATTTAGCGAAATAAAAAAAAACGAAAGACCAAACAAAACAATCATTAACTGACCCACAGATGATGTTGTCCAAGTGGAAAAAGAAAACCACAGGAAAAAAAATCGACCAAGCAGAAAAAAAATGAACTAAACTCAAGTGTCCAACTTGGACAATTATTATCATTTTTCATTTTCATTTTTTTTTTTGTTTCTTTCGGATACCCAAACACACAAACACACACACAGTATTTAATTCCATTTTTTTCTCTTTTTTGTTTCACTTTTTTGTTTTGTTTTGTTGTCATTTTGTTGTTGTTGTTGTTGTTTTTGTTGTTGTTAATGTTTGTTTCTGGTTTTGTAGTTTTTTTCATGGCCACTGATTCCTATAATATTTGTGTGATTTACAAAAATTTTTATTTTCATCCACTTTTTTTCTCTCTACAGGAATGATAAATTGGACGTATTGATCGGCGACACGGCCATATTGGATTATTATCGTGCCAATGATCCAGGATGTAATCTACGTTTATTAGGTGATTCAATATTTGATGATGCATATGCAATCGGTATGCAAAAAGGTTTTCCATTTCGTGTAAGTTTTTTTTCAGTAATTTTTTTTTTTTTGTATGATGATGCACAACTAGTAATGATCTAGTAGTGATATTTGGCTAATTTATTATCATATATCGATATATCGATAATAATGTAAACGGTAAACATAAAAGTTAATAGGCCAAATACAATCAATCATCATTGCTATACTATTTTTCACTATGAATTTTCTTGTTTTTTTTCTGTGGAAAAGTAAAAAAAAAAATTCTCTTGAGATTTTTTTTTCTTATCTTTCGATCTCTCTTTTTTTTCATTTCATTTATTTTCAAACGTTGATTCTCTTTAGGATTCTTTTTTGAGAGAGAGAGAGATCGAGAGAGAAAACACAGACAGACAAACAGTAATAATAAATATATTCCGGTATTTTGTGCAACCGACTGTGTGACTATGAGAGAGAGCAAAATCAACACCAGAAAAAAACTACAGAATACGGAATTTGGAATTTGCAATAGCATAGATAAAGTTTTTCAAAGCCAATAAAGTAGAATTCATTTGTAAAATAAAAAATTAAATGAATTCTTTTCCTTTTTTTTTTGCTCAAAAAAAAAGAATTTCGGCATTGAAATGAAAAAAAAGATTCTGATTTGTTCTCTGTGTGTTTGCTATTAGCCATAAACATATCGCACACACACACACAGTTTTTTTTTCTTTTTCTTTCTTTGAAAAAGTTTTTTTCAATCATTCTTATGGTTATATTTAGGAATCTTTTCTTTTTTTTTTACTAATTGAAACACAAAACGGAATCATTTTTTTCATATCGATATTCTTGAATGGATTCTTGTTGGTTTTTTTTCTGATTTGATATTCAAAAATTATTGATCCACACACACAGTGATTCGTTTTTTCATTTTCATTTTCATTTTTCATTCTCGTTTGGCCGCTACGTTTTTTATTGGCGTTGTTGTTGACCTAGTTTCCATTCATATTCTGTGTGTGTGTGTGTGTGTGTGTGTATTTGAATTTATCTGATACTGGGCTCGATCACCCATTATCATCATCATCATCATAGTCAAGAAAAACGCACACACACACACACACGAAAGATACTATCGGATGTTATCGTTTGTTTCCATTTTTTTTTTTTCTTTTCAAATTCTTTTCATAGTAGTGTGTGTGTGTGTTTGGTTATATTTCTCAATCTACCATTCATAGTTATATAATAAAGTTTGCATTATATGGATAGTTTTTTTATTCACTGATTCTTTTTTTTCTGGTCTGTTGTTGACTGTCTGATTGTCTTTGTCGATGTTTGTTGTTGTTGTTTTCTGTTTTTATTTATTCAGTCAGCCATTTTTATTTTTTGTTGATGCATCATTCATGCAAGGGTGATCGGAAAATAGGCTTGCTTCCGATTCCATTTTCCATTATGAAAATACCCCTTTTATTTGTTTTTTTTGTTGTCTCAGTGTCTGTTTTGAACATTCTGCCATTCTGTGATGATGCTAGTGAATGTTAGAAACAAAAAAAAATTATTACAACATGAAAAACATATGAATATTCTTTGTTGATGTGTAGAGATTCATGCTGTGAACATTTTTAAACATTGTTTGTCTGTCCGTGTGTGTGTGTTTTGTTTTTGAGTTTGTGAGTTCAAGAAAAAAATCATGATGATGGAAAAAAAACCAGAAAGAAAAAATTTTTTATTTTCCTCGCTGTCATTTTCTTTTTTTTTTTTTTTTTTCAAACAACAAAAACAACATGGGCACACACACACACATCTCTCTCTCATTTCACCGTGTTAACGGCGGCAATGTGATGTGATGTGATGATTTTTCAACCAGAAATTAAATTGAAAAGAAAGAAAAAAAACAAATTTTTCATTCATTCATTCATTCAAATGAATATGTGTGTTTTGTGTGTGTGTGTGTGTGTGTGTGTGTGTGTGTGGGCCATAATGATTTGATGATTTATTATTACACAATTTCATTTTCAAAATAAAAAAAAAATTCGGGTTTCCAAAACCAAATTGTGGTTATTGTTGCTGTTGCTGTTGTTTCATTTCCTACGGACTAGACTCTGTATTCAGTCGATTTATTTGTTTCAAGAATTTCGTTTCCTATTTTCTTTGTCTTTATTTTTTTCCCCCCTGTTTCTTTTTTCCGGCCAAAAAAACTACACTCTTGAAAATGATGTGTGCACACTGTTGTTGTCTACGGTGGCCGTTATGTTTTTTTTTAGCCTTGGCTTTTTTTTTTTTTTTTCCATTTTCTTCATTCGCTAATGATTCGAGCAATCTAAAGTCACAATAGTCGAGTTGTGTTCTTTTTTTTTTACTATTTCGAATTCGTTTTGTTTGTTGTTCAAGTTGAAGAAAAAAAAAATTCATTTTTCTTTCTTCAATTTTGTCATTTTATCTTTAAAGATCCAAATAAAAAAAAAATTTCACTCTCTCTCTCTCATCTTTTAAAGATGTTTATGGATGATGTGATCCAATGATGTGTTCCATTTCGTGCATATATATTCCGGTTGGCTTGTTCATGTATTTTTTTTTTTTTTTTTTTTTCTTACTTTATGGTGGTCTATTTGTTTGTGATCTATTTATCATTGGTTTTTGTTTCGTTTTTAATTTATAGTCATTGTTGAGAATATTTTCATCAATCATTTTGTTTTCGTCATTTTCTTCAAAAAAAAAAAAAAAAAAAAGTTTCCTACAGAATTATTAATCTTTGTTTGTTGTTTTTTTCTCTCTTTTTTTTTCTTCTTCGTTCATCATCATCATCATCATCATCAGGAATCCATTTCAAATTTGATACTAAAATATAATGAATATGGTTTTTTGGATCAATTACATCGTAAATGGTATGGCCGTGTACATTGTTTAGAATCAACATCATTATCGAAACCAGAACCATTGACTGTACGTGGTGTTGCCGGTGTATTTCTTATGCTTACCATCGGTATATTGGTTGGCATTATTATATTGTTGGCCGAACATTTTACATTCAAATATCTATTGCCTGGATTGAGAAAAAAACCTAAAGATTGTTTTTGGAAAAGTCCAAATTTAATGTTCTTTTCACAGGTATTGGTTTTTTTTCTTCCAATTTTATTGTTTATTCTAAGTCACTGATTATATAATCATTATTGATGAATATTTTTTTGCATACGGATTATATTATATATAGAAATTATATCGATTTATCAATACAGTTGAATTAGTGTCACCACATCATTCGGCAAAAGAAATTATCACCAATCTTCGTGAAGGTCAAATTGCAAGTCTTTTCCAGAAAAGTGTTAAAAGGGTATGCGTGTATTTTGGATCATTAATTCATTTTGGATGATGATGATGATGTAATAATCTCATTAATCATTATATTTGCATTTGATTTTTTTATAGAAAGCAAAAGAAGAAGCACGACGACGAAAAAGTAAATCACAATTTTTCGAAATGATACAAGAAGTTCGTAAAGTGTAAGTCATATATGTTTGTTTGTTTATTTTTATTTTTTTTTTTTTTTTCATTGATCATTTTGATTGATAAATTGATTGTTTTTTTTCTGTTTTTTGTTTTGTTTTTATCAGCGTACATTTACAACAAACAGAACGTAGTATGCAACAAGATGATGATGATCATGATGATCATGATGATGATGATAATGATGATGATGATGATGATGATTTATCATCATCAGATTTGATTGATGAAGAAGCGGCATTGAATACGAATACAAATATGCGTGTTACTAGGCCATCATTTTCATTATCAAAAGATGAACTTATTGAAATGGAATTCAATCATCAGAATCGTGTTTCATCAATCAGATTTCGTGGTTGGTATTTTCAAAAGTTTTTTTATCATGAATTTATTTTATGTTAAAATCAAACTTTTTTTTTTTCAATTTTCAACAGAACCGAATGATATGAATCATGATACAATTTATCATCCACCATCCATACCACCAGCACCACCACCACCACCACCACCATCATCATCATCATCGATAGTAGAACGTAAAAGTAAAAGTAATCTGAAAATTTCAAACGAATCAAAAAAATTAAACAGTTCAACCGATAGTCAACAGGATGTGATTGTTGAACATGCACATCGTCTACGTTATCATCAACGACGACGTCGATCAAGCAGTAGTAGTACACAACGACATTCGAAACAGATGGAAACAGTACAATCACGGCGAAAAAAATTACTACAAACCCATACACATAGTACATCGTTTAGTTTGGAAAACATTTGTTTCGAAGGCATCCTATCAGAAGGAATAAGTGATCAGAATGAAAAGCGAAAAAATTTTCGCCGCAGACGTATATTATCATTTGAAGATTTACCGGCAATCAAAAAAGAATTAAGTGAATCATCACAAGAAGGTGATCATTATTCAATGATTGAATCGGAACAATATCGTCATTATACAACAAAATCAATTAGACCGATAAGAAAATCAAAATTAAAATCATTACGTCATCAAACTATGACCACATCATTATCATCATCATCATCGGCTGCGGCGGCGGTGGCTGCGGCTCGAAGTATTGATATTGGACGGTTATCAAGAAATGAAATTCTAAACCTATGGAATTCATCTGAAAAAGAGCTATTGAATCGTTTAGAGATGACAATACAACAGAATCGTGTATTGGAAGAGAAGATAAAATTATTACAACGAATGTTGAAAAAACCACCTTGATGGAATTGAACCAAAAAAAAAAATTTCTATGTTTATTCGAGCTGATTCGACAAACACACACACACACACACACACACCCATATTCTACAACTTGTTTTTGAAATTCTTGTTTTTTTTCGTGTGTGTGTGTGTGTCTGTGTTCGTTTTTGTCGTTCGCTTTGTTTGTTTGTCGTCCATCGTATGCAACTCAATGTGGAATCAGAAATTATTTTTGATTATTTTGTCATCGATTCCTTTTTATGGATGTGTGTGTATGGCGACAAAAGGAAACCAAAAAAAAAAAAATTTTTTTTGATGGAACCAAAACATTTATTGCTGTGTTTTGGGTTATTGTTGTCAATTTTTATTCTGGGCCCAATCTTGTCATTTTTTCCAGTTTGTTTGTTTGTTTGTTTGTTTGTCATCATCACTAAAATCTATGTCGTCATCATATGTGTGTTTGCTGTTTTATTATTCTTGGTATGTACAGAATTTTTTTACTCATTCAAAAAAAAAATTCATATTTCAAATAATGGAATTTCATTTCATTTCTTTTCTTTTTTTTTCCTAAACTCATCATAGATCTTGCCGTTTTTTTGTTATTCTGCTGTTGATACAATATATATAAATATATTCTATTCACAAATTGAATTCTGGAATTTTTTTCTTCTTTTTTTTTGATTTATTTATTTATCAATTGTAAAACACACACACACAATTGTTGTTCAGTTATTTTTTTTTTAGATTTAGAAATTCCATCATCATCATCATCATCATCATGATGATCATTTCAAATAGACACCCTATGGACATATTAATGTTGTTGTATGTGAAAATCCAACAACAACAACAACAACAACAACGACAACAACAACAACAACAACAGAATACAACAACAACAATAAAATGGTCGACAACAAAACATTTTCATTTTAAGAATAATAATTTTTGATCACTGGTAATGATCATCATGATCTTTTTCGTTGTATATGAGATTTACAAATTTTTTTTTTTACATTACATGTTTGTCGATTGTTATCGTTGTTGTTGTTGTTGTTGTTGTTTTTTTTCTGCAATCCAAACGTCAATGAAAATGAAAATTTTTTTAAACAACAACCAGCCTTCTCTAGGGCTTCCCATTAATAAGAAAATGAGAGAAAAAAAACCTTTTTGTTGTTCCATTAATGATGATGATGATGATGATGATGAAATACAAATTTTTTTTCCCGATGTCAGAATTCTAGACTCAATTAACATGCATGCACACACACACACACACACACACACACCCATATACAATGCATGTATATAAACATAGCGCTGAATGAGTTCTGGGAAGAAAATCAAAAGAATTTCGTTCTTTTCATTTGAACAACAAATAATACCGGAACGTTGCCGTTGTGTTCCAAATTTCCTACCGGTTGCAAAAAAAAAATTTCCTGATAGCTTTAGTGGTTCACATAGACAGAATGTATATAATTGAATTTTGATTAAATTCTGAACTCTTTCATTTACAATGAATTTTTTTTTTCTCTTTTTAAATTTCAACAAGAATTTCAAATTTTGTTTTTTTTTTTTGTTCATTCAAAATTTTTAATTTTTCTTTTCGCTAATCAATCATGATCAATAACAAAGACGACGACGACGATGACAATGACAGCAACTACGTTTTTTTATATATACCTTGAATGAATGGGCAAATTTCAATTGATAACCGGCAACAAATGATGACAATGGCCAAAAACAAAACAAAACAAAACAAAAACTTCAAGAATTATTATTATTGTTGTTGTTGTTATTATTATTATTATTATTCTGTTATGTTCATTAATCAGAAGAATATTCTATATATTCTATATATATCTGTAATAATAATATAATAAACAACTTGTATTTGCATAAACTTCATTTTATTCACACACATTTATACACACAGAATATTCTTGTTTGTTGTCATTGTTTTCTTGTTATTTCTTTTCTTTTTTCTTTGCTGTTGCTGTTTTTGTTGATTCAGAAATAGAATAGAATAGAATAATTTCCATCACCGTCATATATTAGTTTATTGCATATATGCATAAAAACAACAATAAAAACGTAAATATAAAAGGAATAATAAAAATGAAAAAAAAAAATTTTACCCTTTAACACATTCAAACAAAACAAAACAAAACAGAAAAAAATTTAATTTTCATCCATTCTTCTTCTTTTGCGGTTCTTTATTTCATTTCAATATTATATAATAATTCTGTTCTACTACTGCTGCTGCTATACCATGTAGTGTATATGCTCAATCGTTTTTGTTGTTGTTGTTGTAAATAAAAATAATAATGGAATGGTGAACTTTCATTCATTCCATTTCATTTCAATCAATCAATCAATCAATTAATCAATGAAAATTATTGGAAAAAGAATAATTTCCTCATTTCTTCGTTCTGTTTTACAATTATATTCTTATTCATTGAAACACACACACACACAGACACACAAATATGACAAAATAAAACAGACAATGAAAATCAATATGCAAAAATTATTCTGCTGCAAAAAAAACCAACAACAACAACAACGACAACAACAATAAAAACGAAAATAAATTGGATTCCTCACTAACTTATAAACTTGTTGATTGATATATTATGTTTGTTCGCTTTTTTCTTCTTGTTTTTTTTTCGTTGTTCATTATTCAACAGCCAAAATCAATCAATCAAAATGAAAATTAATCACAAAAAATTTTTCTTTTCGAAACTATCTCTCTATTATTAATTAGAATTTGTATCATATTAATGTAAACAGACACACACACACACATATGCCTCTATTATAATTGATTAAATTTGGAAAAAAAATCCGTTCGAAAGATGAACTTATAATAATTATGATGATTGAACCAAAATTCGTGTGTTATAAACAAAACAAATGAAGAATTTTGAATGAAAATTCTTTTTGCAATTCTCTTCTGATGTATAATCAAATTGATGTATTCTTATTCGTTTTTTGAAAAATGAAAAAAAAATTATTGTTATCGAATAAATTGATTATTATTAATTGTTTAACGAATTGTTTTGGTTATTATTGATTTTCAGGAAAGAAATATTTCCGGAAATTTCGAATTTTTTCCACAAAGAAATTTTTCCGTTAAAATTGTTCATTGTTTGTTCATTCATGTGGATTTTGTTTTTTTTTTTTATTTGATTGATTCTAATTTGAAATTTTCGATAATGGATCAATTAGCAATGACAAGATTGTCTGAAGAACGAAAATCATGGCGCAAGGATCATCCATACGTAAATAAAAATAATATGAACAATTTTTAATTTTTTTTAATTTCCAATTTCAAATTTCATTGTTAAAAGGGTTTTGAAGCTAAACCTGTTAAAAATCCCGATGGAAGTCTTAATCTAATGATATGGAATTGTTCGATACCAGGAAAACCGGATACACCATGGGAAAATGGAAAATTTAAATTGAAAATTAAATTCAATACTGGTTATCCATTGAAACCACCCGTTTGTCAATTTGATCCACCAATATTTCATCCAAACATTTGGTTGGATGGTCAAGTTTGTCTTTCCATATTGAATCCAGAAAATGGTTGGCGTCCATCAACAACCATACGTGAAATTCTGATTGGCATACAAGATTTATTAAACGAACCGAATATCTATGATCCAGCTAATTTATTAGCATATGAAGTATATGTTAAAAACAAACAAAATTATATCGAACAGATTATTGAACAAGCGAAAAAATTTATAGCCACCGATTGATTGATTGATTGATTGTGATTCATTTGTTTTTTTCTTCGAAAAAAAAATTTGTATTACCCATATTATTACATGTAAAAATGAAAATATGATGCAATGTAAATAAAATTCACATATCACAATTGTGATCCATTACAATTTTTTTGATGATCAAATTGTCGTGGCAATTGAGATATAAACACATATACCATTTATTTCAAGTAATTGATGATAATTTTTTATATATATTCGTATATATAAATAGTAAAAGAATGAATGTGAATGATTACAAAATTGAAATTATTCCAAAAAAAAAAAAAAACCATGTACAGGAATTGTCACAAAAAAAAAAAAAAAAATAAGAAGATTGAAAGGTCAATTAGTAGCAAAAAAAATCGATGAATTTTATATATGTACAACAGAGTTCCATGAGATGAAACATGATTTATAGGATAAATAATTTTCCAAAAAAAAAAAAAAATTATAAAAAAAATTGTAAAAACCAACAAAAAAAATGTTACAATTCGTATATCATAATAATAATAATAAAAAAAGGGAAAAAAATTAAGCTCATTGAGGAGAAAGATAGTGGATGAATGAAGATCCATATAATATTTTCATTTTTTGGGGCGGGGGGGGCTACTCTATTTAACAATGTCCCAATAATGTGGGCATTTTGTTGGCACGTGGAGCTGTTGATGGTGTTTGTGGCCGTGAACCAGATCCTTGGGCAGCAATCGAATTTGAGCTAGCTGAATTAGCTGAACTAAATTGATATTGTTGCTGTAAATGATGATGATGATGTAGATGTGGGCCAGTATGTATTGGATCACCATTTAGGAAAACACCTTGTTGACTATATTGGACGGTAGCAGGTGTAAAGGTTCCACCACCATTGAATAGATTGGCATTTGGGCGAATATTATTATTATTATTATTATTTGATGATGAAAACATCGATAATTGACCATTGGTTGATGGAGGAGGAACTTGAGGTGGTGGTGGTGGTGGCAATGGTAATGATTGTTTATTATTCGTCAATAATGGTGATGATGGTATCGCATTATCTGTCAACATTGTTGTTTGATAGGCGACAGCACCACAGCTACCACCACTACTACTATTGTAATGTCTAACCGATCCTAATCCTGATCGGCAATTCGGATTTGTCGATTGTGATTGTGTATTATTATTGTTCATTTTATCACGGCCATCTCGTGCATGTACAGCTTCCCATGAACGAAGACGACTGTGAAGATCATGAAATGCTGGTCGCTGATTTGGTGTCTCTTGCCAACATTCTAACATCATAGCATAGATATGTTGTGGACAACCAGATGGACATGGTAATAATTGTCGTGATCTAACCATTTCGATTACTTCTGTATTTGAATAACCTGAATATGGTTGTTGACCGAAACAGAATATTTCCCAAAGTACGACACCAAATGACCATACATCACTTTCGGTTGTGAAACGTCCATAAAGACAACTTTCAGCTGGCATCCAACTATCAGTAAAAAAAAGAATGGATTAATTATAGTAATGAAAATTTGAGAAAAAAAAGCTTACCGAACAGGCAGCAATGATTTTGATTGAACACGATAATAATCACTTGAATAGATATCTCGTGATAATCCGAAATCAGAAATTTTTACAGTCAAATGTTCACCAACTAAACAATTTCTAGCGGCTAAATCTCGATGTACATAATGATGTCCAGATAAATATTCCATACCAGCTGCAATTTGTGTGGCAATATGAAGACAATCCGAAATGTCCAATATTTCCGATGGATCAACAGTGATATCAGTTACCGGTGCATTAGGTCCATGGATAACTAAATATTCATGTAGATCACCTTTTCTCATATATTCAAAAAGCATACACATTGGTTCTTCTTGAAAACAAACACCCAACAAACAAACAATATTTGGATGTTGTAATTCGGCCATTAAATCGGCTTCACGACGAAAATCTTGTTTAGTTTTTAATGAAGAATTTTCTTTCAATGTTTTTATGGCTATCGGTACAATCAATGGACCACCATTGGTCATCAATAATTCACCACGATAAACTTTTCCAAATGCACCTTCACCTAATTCTTGTATGAAACGAATAGTAGACATTGGATATTCAGTCGGTGTTCGGCCAGAATGGACACGACCACCACCACTTGAAGATCCATTTGATGATGATGAACTTGAAATTGGATGTTGAATATCACCAGTATTCGGATGACTATGTTGACTTTGATTATAATGACTTTGTGGTAATAATGCATTCATTTCGACACTATTTCCACCATGTTCAATATTATATCCACGGAGACTTCGATTCATTTGATTATTATTATTATTACTATTATTACTACAGCTACTATTCGATGTTAACGAAGTTGTTACACCATTTGATTTAGTTGGTGCACCAGTACTACTATTGAATGAACTTAATAGGCCAACATTGGTACCACCACCATTAAGAAATCCATTCAATTTTCCATTCAATGAATTTGAACCGGCCAGAATCGTATGTTTATGATGATGATCTTCAAGTAATGCTCGATTCCTTCGTGCAACAATTCTTCGTCGTCGTATACAACATACACAGACCAAAACAATGAATAATATCAACGCACAAACGACCGGTGAAATTATATAAAACCATAAATATTGATCAAAACATTTGGGTATGTCACAAAATTCTTTACGAAAATCATGTACATAACACCATGGCTGTTCTTCACGGCCACCCGGATTACGACAATAATTATGGCCAGTAAGTTCAGGATATTCAGATGTACGTAAAAAAATTTGCTGACTCCAATATAAACATTTGGCTCCGGATTGTGTTTGCGAAGCTGTTCCACGATATGATTGACCACGATCATTGTAACAATTATGATCTATTGATTGTTATTGTCGAAAAAAATCATGAATTAGAAATGATTATGTTTAACAACAACAAATTACAAACCATGAGCTACTGGCATTGTATTCGGAATACCAAGACGTACACAACGTTGACCTTCATGAGAACCAATCGATGGTAGATCATCACATTCTGGTAAAATATCCTGATGACCAATCAATGGATGTTTTTTGGCGATTGCATATTCCATATGACAAATATTATTCTCCAACATTTCACATTCATCACGACAGACCTGGAAATAATTGTTTTTTCTTATTTCAATTGAATTCAAATTAATTAATTAATAACATACCTTTCGTGGATGTGGATGTGGAAATGTATCATCACATAATGAAAATACATGAAAACAAAGCGATGATATTGCATAACGATGACATTGTAATGATACATCTGGTGAATGTACAATAACATTGAATGCAGCCAATAATTTATTATCCATAATTTGTTGCCAATATTCATTACGAACATAAATGGTACGATTCTGTAGAAATTGTGAACAAGCTGAACCACGATATGGTTGACACATGCCTGGACCATCTAATAATAATTCTTTTGAATCAATATTTGGAATGGCAAAACTGTTCAATTGGAACAAAAAAAAATTAGCAAAATTAATCAAGTGAACTCAATATAAAAAAACCTATTATTATGCGAAAGCGCCAATAATTGTGTCATATTGTTGAGCAATTTTATGGTAGAAATATTGAAATTTTCCATATTAAACAATGGAGAATTTATTTGTTCAAAAGCCATTATACTATTAAAATGAACCACAGTGAATAATGTAAACAAAATGATGAAATGTATCAATTGTTTAAAAATCGCCATGTTGAAAAGAACAGATTATTACACACACACACACACACACACACAAACTGGAAGCCAAAATTTCAATGTTAAGAATTTCCTGTCATTAGGATTTCTTTACAACAATGGTGAAAATGATGTTCATTTTTTATTTAATATAACCAAGCTCTTAACAAAAGAAGAATACAATTGCAATTGAGGGAGGACATGACGCATGAGTTGTAAAAAAAAATCCGGGCGTTATGTGTATATGTGTGTGTATTATTTTGGATCATTGCGCGCAAACACAAATAGTAAAGGGCGATGTCCATTGAATCATTTATTGTCCGGGTAGAGTTGTCTAGTGTGAATGAAATTGAAACATGAATGGAACGTTTTTCCGAATGCAAGTGCTGACATCTGATTTTTTGGATTCACAAAACAAACATAAAATGAAAAAAAAATTCGATCGTTCGATCGTTCGATCGATCGATTTTTCAAAAATTGTGTAGAAAATAAATTTAATAATTTGTCTCAATAAAAAAAAATTGAAAATTGAAAAAAAAGTGAAAAGAATTTGTTTTATTGTCCACGATTGATGAAAATTACAACAACAACAACAACAACAACAACAACAACAACAAAAAAACGACGACGGACGATAAAAAGTTTTACAATGACAATGGGACAAGAATTTTGAAAAGAAATAAAAAAAAAAAAAAAAATCAAAGCCAACCAAAGTTTGGTTGGTTGGTGTTGAGTATTGGCCATTTTTCATTTGGTTCTATCTTTTTTTTCACATTTTACACAAATGGTTCGTAAAATTGTGTCGATTTTTGGATCGATTTTAGTAACATAACGTTGATTGAATTACTGAACACACACACACACACACACATTTATTCTGTGTTAAGCTAGTGTATTGGTGGACATTTTTTTTTCATTCATTCATTCACTGGATCAAATCCACAGTGAAAAGTGAATTGAATTTAAGTAAAAAAAAAATTGTCTCTTTTTTTCTGTCAAATGAATTGATCATCTAAAATTGAGTCAAGAATTTTGAAATGTAAATCAAATCAACAACAACAACAACAACAACAAAAATAATGATAAATCCCAATCGCAAAAAAAAAGAAGAAGAAGAATAATGCAGCGAGCGAACGCAGAGATATGGAATTTTTTTTTTGACAATTTGTTGAAAAAAATAAGGGATTTACAGTGTAAATATTTTCTGTTCTTGCTACATGATTAGGGGAAGTAGGATGAAGAAATCGAAAATCAATTCAAGAAAATTTAATCAAATGGAGACAAAAAAACCATGAAGAAGAAGAAGATGTTAAAGCAAATTTCATCATCGGTTTTTTCTGTTCTTTTTTTTCATTTGGATCGAAAATAAAACCAATTAAAGTAATGACATTTTTTTTTTGATTTTCAGTTTCTCTCTCCGATAAATGAGTATCATTAACACACATGGTCATTTTTTTTGTGCGTTGTGTGTGTGCGTGTATTTAATCCGTTCATTCATCGAATAAAAACGTGGCAAGAACGAAAACAAGAGACTGATATATTATATTGATTTTATTGGCCATTCAAACATACAAACAATGATACTATGAAACGATTGATTGGAAAGATTCGAAATTCGAATGACTTTGGATCAGTTTAGCTGAAGCGAGATGTCATTTTAGCCCCATAGTAATAATTTTTTTTTTTTTTGTAATGTTTTATAACTCGTATGTTTTTATGTGACAAACCAAACCAAACAAAACAAAACAAAGAAAAAAACTTTTACGACATCGATATGTTAATAAGTGACGATGATGACACAACACCAACACCAAACAGATGAATCGATCTAAAACACAACAAGAGAACAACAACAACAACAACCAGACAGAGAAAAAAAATGGGTAACAATTTAACCAAACAATTGATAGCTAAGGGAGGATCGCCATCATCGCCATCATCATCATCATCAAAGATTCAATGAAAATTGCCATTGCAATATAAAAAGTTTTTTTTTTCGCAAATAACGACGACAATGATGATGATGATGAAAAAGCTAAATGAATATTACAGCAAAAGTGTAAATGAGTTGCCATCACCATCATCATCACGATCATGACATCATCATCATCATCATCATCAAGTCATGGTCCAAAACAATGAGAAAACATGACCAGAATTTTATGGCATTTTTTTGCGACATATTATATTTGTGTATGTCTGTTGTTTAGAACACACACACACACACACACACACACACACACACACAGACAGAATTACACACAGAAAAAAAGTCATCTCGAATTCTCGAGAATCGAATCGAATACACACACACACATATATAACGAAACGAAACGACAGACAAAAGAAAAGAAACAGAGAAAAATTTAAAATTGAAACGGAAATACAAATTGAAATTGAAATTGAATATGGCAAAAAAAAATGAAACAAAATTTTCGAATCATTTATGATTTCATATTTTGCATTAAACTAATGAAATGATATTGGCAGAAGATGAGGAAAAAAATACACTGTCATTTATAGTGAGCAAAAAATGATGGATCGATTTTGTCTACATACCCCAAATAGCTCGAATGTTGCTGTCATAATCTTCAACTCAATTGATTTTGTTTGGAGAAAAAAAAATCTTGGTTTTTCCTCGTTTTTTTCCTTTCCATTGATTGAAATAATGTTTCTATTCAGTGGAACGATTCATATTTCCTTTTGTTTTAAAATTTTATTTTCATTTTTCTTTATTTTTTTTTTATTTCTTTGTCATTTGATTCATAATTCAGATGATGATAATTGAAATCTATGCTGAAACGGATGCTTGTGTAGAATGCAATTGCTTGGAACGAAAAAAAAAAATTTGACCGGAAATTTTTCATTCTTAACTTGAGAATTTAAAATGAAATGAAGTTATGAAAAAGGGAGCGAAAAATCAGGAAACAAAACTGTTATTGTCTCCATAAGGTGTCAAATAATCTTGACATTTATTATCATCATCATCATCATCATCACATCGATAACATCGACAACAACGACAATCGAATCATTCATCAAATATCTTTAGATGTATGATCAACGCCAATTTTTTTTTCTCAATACAAATTGCTGGATCAGAATTGAAAGTAACGAGAGAGAGAGAAGCATATCATACAACGCGGCACGTGACAATCATCAATAATTCATTCATTTCATTTTTTCCTTACAAACCAGAACCAGAACCAAAGAATGAATGAATGAATGTCCACCGCCAGGATAATGGTTCCCGGGTATCCAATAGTGGAATGAACTAGTCTCACTCACTAGTGAGACTAGTTGTCTGTGTTAATAATATGAATAGCTAATGAAGAAGAATTGTATTTTTATTCTTAACTAACTAAAATGAACAATCAATCAAATATCAAATTGAAAGTAATGGAATCCGATATATATATGATGTTATGAATTCCGGATGCTACCGTATTTTTCAAGTATTGTGTGATAGAATAACAAAACTGTCAGAATGATTGACCAAAAAAAAAAAAAAACAAGAGAATCCATTAGAAAGTTGCCCACTAGCCACTGTTTTTAGCAATAATAATCATGATGATAATTCCAATTGAAGAATTTTTCGTTTTTCTTACTTTTAATGTTGGCCATAATTCTGTATGGCCATTCGATTGATTTAGGTTGTCACAAATTCCAGAACGAACAAAAAGCAAGAATTCATTCTTAGATTAATGACTGACTACCGATCTTCCTTTTTTTTGTTTGCAATATAAATTATTTAATTGATAATAAAATGACAACCAAAAAAAAGAAAGAAAAGAACAAAAGAAGAACAAAGGAAGAAAAAAAGTTTGAAAAGAAAGACCAGCGAAAAAAAGGCGATAAAAATTAATAATGATTAGAGAAAATCATCATCATCATAAACTTTTCGGAAATCTATTATTAAGAAATCTTTGGCTTTTAGTTATTACTGGAAAATGAGAATGAATATTACGTTATAGCTAATTTCATTTTCATTTTCATTTTGTTTTGATCCATGATTATAATCAATTATTGTACAAGCAGCACATAGCATAAAAGTGGCTGGATTTTATTTTTGAAACCAAATGAAAAGAAAGAAAATGTTTCAAAATGCTGTTAAAACAATCTTTTGAAATCACATTCATTCGAATTCACGAAACAAAGACGAAAAATTTTTTGATGACAAATAATTGTAAACATTGTATTCTGTGCATTGTATATTGTGATTGAAAACACAAAAACGTAACATCAAAACTTTTTGTTCCATTTGGACAAAAATTTCTTCATTGTCTCTCGGTTTTATATTGATGGACAAAAGATGTGAAAAAAAAATAATTGACACAACCACCAAGAACATTGTTTCATAATAAATTATACAAAGGCGAGAGAGATATGAAAAGGTTCCAGAATTTCAAACATTTCAAATGTTTTTTATTTCTCTGATTAAAAAAAATTCGTTGTTATCATTGTTTTTTTTTTTGATATTCTACCAGAATAAATTCCATAATCATCATAACAATTGTCATTTGAAAAAAAGTAGGAAATATGAAAAAAACGAAATTCTTGAGAGCAAGAGAGAAAGAGAAAATTCTAACTTTTTCAATTCTTTACATTGAATCGATGAATGTGAAATCAAAAAAAAAAATGGATTAAAATTCTTTCCTGTAAAGAGAGAAAAAAAAAAATTCAATTTAAAACTGAAAAGAAAATGAAAAATGAAATGATGTGTGTGTGTGCCCATATTGAAAATTCAAATTTTGAATTAAATTAT